TCCAGCGTCTGTCCCTATATGGTATATGAGTCATACCATAACAAATATTAATATTACGAAATTCTTAACTATATGTCTCTATATGTATGTCTGTATGTATGTATGCATGTCAGTTAGTATGTATGTATGTATGCATGTCAGTTAGTATGTATGTATGTATGTATATCTATATGTTATATATGTATGTGTGTGTGTGTGTGTGTTTATGTATGTATGTATGTATATATCTCTATATGTATTGTATGTCGATATGTACATACATACATACATATATAATGTACATACATACATACATATATATAGATGTATGTACATACATACATACATATATATAGATGTATGTACATACATACATACATATATATAGATGTATGTAGATATGTACATACATACATATGAAGAGGAAGGATATAGATGTATGTACATACATACATACATACATACATGCATGCATATATACATACATATTTATTTATTTATAGAATGCAAATTCATTGATGTAAAAGGGAAGATATAAAAGTTTTAGTGAGTGGGTACAAATAACTCACTCACAGAGAATACAACTCACTCAAAATAAAAGACTTCGTATGCCCCAAAAAAGAGAAAATAAAAACTATTCATGGTGGGCGTATTTGCCACTTCTCCTCTGGTTCTTGGGAGAGAGTTCAACACTAGACTGAGATGCGGACTTTCACTTGAAACTATCAAAGAGTCGTCCTGGAAATTTTTTGGTTCTAGCATTTCTTTTTTATTCTTCCTAGATTTGTAAACTTGCTATTCATCTGCCAGTGTTTGTCCCATCTGATCTACTTATGGATCTTCAGTGGAGAGCTTACCTTGGGGGTACGTTGATCCGTAAATTGCTGATCAGTCTCAACCTGCAACACATTTTAATCATGGCGCTCCTCCAGGGCTTGATTATGCTTTTCTGTCGCGATAAATGGTTTCAAAACACATCGACTAGCATCTGTTATAACCAGGATCGAGTTAAGGAGACATTTGAGCAATTTCATTTATTTTCCATCAATTGTCATATACTTTTTGGAAAATTTTTTTGGCATAGTCCTCTACTTTAGATAAGATGTTTCCCATCAAAGGGACCAATCTTTCAATTTCTCAATAGTTTGAGATTTTCAAAAGCTTTTCGAATGATTTTCATTTTAAGATGTCCCAATTGGAATCTCCCAATGAGGGTAAATTTGCACTTATTAACCAGATTGGAAACTTCAACATCAGAGAAAATTAGAGCTAATTTGCCATTCTTTCTACTCGCCTTCTTGATGAGGTTACAGTCCCCCCTAGCCTTCAAAGGATTCATGATAGACCTGAGGGAAAACCTGATCCACTGATCCCACAGAGCCAACCTTATCAACATAAGAAACCTTCCCAATGTTTAAAACTGAAGCAGTCGGTGGTTGAGGAAGAACAAAAGCCATAGAGCTAAGATTCGAACAGTGGGAAGCTATTGGCTGGAGTCGTGACTATATATATATATGTATATATATATATATATATATAAT